GGACTTAGCTGTAATATTGTTTCAGTTTTGTGGTGTTCCATGGTCGAGGTAGTGGTTATCCATTTAAATGATCGAGGTAATATGCTCCGGTTCCCGTAGACCCGCGGACGCGGTATGGTCCTTCCTAGTTTGCGACCAGCTTCCATTTGCGGGAATCTTTCTGATTTCTCCATAGGATTAGGCTTCTGAGCTGGAACTCACGCTTTTTGACTTTGTGGTCATGGCGGAGGGCTATATGTTGTTTCAGCGTAGCCTCGCGAAGAGCTTATCCTGAACAGATTTCCTCGACTAGGTCGAGCTCTTCTCTTAGGGCCTCGTTGTTTAGTTCCTCATCTAGAGGGACCTCAGTTCTTCTGGAAGGTTCCCAAATTTCTACGGGAATGACGACCTCGGTGCCATAGGTTAATTGGAACATGATCTCGCCCATCATTGAATAAGGTGTAGTTTGGTATGCCCATAAGATGATGTGGAGTTCCTCGACCCATCCTCTTTTGGCCTTGACCAGCCTTCGTTTGAGACCTCGTAAGATGATCCTATTGGCGGCCTCGGCTTGCCCGTTGGTTTGGGGGTGTTCGACTGAGGTTAAGTGTTGCTTGGTGTCGAGTTTGGTGATGAAGCTTTGGAAACTTTGATTGATGAACTGTGTCCCGTTGTCAGTGACGAGCGCTTGTGGAATCCCAAATCGGGCAAGCACGTTTTGTTTATAGAAACATAAGATATTGTGTGAAGTGATTTTCGCTAGAGCCTTAGCCTCTATCCATTTCTTGAAATGGTCGACAACCATGATAAGGAATTTGTTTTGGTACCTCCCTTGCATAAAAGGCCCGAGGATGTCCATTCCTCACCAAGCGAATGGCCATGGGGAGGATAGTGTGGTTAGCTCATACAGAGGCGCGAGGTGCATGTCCGTGTGCCTTTGGCACTTATTGCATTTCTTGATGTGCTCGTTGGCGTCTTGTTGCATGGTCGGCCAGTAGTAGCATGCTCACAACGCCTTTCGTGCTAGGGATCTTCTGCCCATGTGTTAGGCGTTGATTCCCTCGTGGATTTCTCACAGTATCTCGAGGATTGCGGACTCCTCGACACATTTTAAAAGTGGGATGGAGAATCCCCGACGATAAAGCTTGTGTTAAATTACCACGTACGAACATGCTCATTGTTTGGTCGCGGCTGCCTCTCTTTGATCTACAGGAAGCTCCCCCCTTTGTCAAAAAGTTGAACACCGGGGTCATCCAACATGAGTTGTCCCCAATTGAATTTACCTTGGGTGGTATCGTGGATTTTTCAATGCTCGGGCGAGAAAGGGATTCTTGGATGATTGATTTCTTCCCTCCTTTCTTCTTTGTGCTCGCGAGTTTTGAAAGTATGTCAGCCCGCATGTTCTGTTCGCGTGGCATGTGCGTGATTTCTGCCTGGTCAAACTTTTCCATATGTTCTCTTACCAGGTCTAAATATTCGATGAGGCTGTTGTTCTTATCCTGGTATCCCCCTTGAACTTGAGATGCGACAAGTTGATATTCAGTGAAATCTGTATCTCCCGGGCATCCAAATCCTCGGCCAGTCGTAATCCTGTGAGCAGTGCCTCGTACTCAGCCTGATTGTTCAACGTCGAAAAAGAAATGGTGAGGGAGTGTTTGATTATGACGCCCTCTTCGTTTTTGAGGAGGATTCCGGAACTGCTTCTTGTCGAGCTGGAAGCTCCATCCACAAACATGGTCCACTTGTGCTTTTTCCCTATGGGGGATTTAGGGTTGTCATCTCTACAAATAAGTCGGCCAATGCTTGGGCCTTGAGGGCCTTCCTACTCTTGTACTAGATGCCGAACTCCGAGAGCTCCAAGGACCATTTTAGCATTCGACCTTCCATGTTTGGTCGACATAGGAGTTGCCTTACGGGTTAATCTGTCCGTAGGAAGATTGTGTGTGTCAGGAAGTAGTGTCTAAGCATCCTCGCTGCGTTGATGAAGGCCAAGGCCACTTTCTCGATCTGTTGATATCTGACCCCGGGTCCCTGAAGTTCCTTGCTTGTGAAATACACTAGTTTTTTCCTGTCAGGAGTCTCGCGAATGAGGGCCACGCTCACAGCCTCGGCGGAGATGGCCAGGTAAAGGAACAAGGATTCCCCGTCTGCAGGTAGCGACAGTACGGGCGGATGCAAGAGGCTTTGCTTGAGATGGATGAGGGCTTGCTCGCATTCCTTGACCCACTTGAAGGTTGCCTCTTTGCGCAGAAGTTTGAAGAATGGAAGAGCATGTTGCATGGACTTTGCCACGAAACGGAAGAGCAAGGTGAGCATGCCGTTTAGGACTTGTATGGATTTCTTCGAATTAGGTATAGGGAACTCGGAGAATGCCTAGCATTTGTTGGGGTTGGCCTCAATTCCCCGTCCTGTTAGATAAAAATTGAGGAACTTGCCCGCCTTAACCCTGAAAGTTCATTTCTCAGGGTTGAACCTCATTCTGCATTGTCTCGCTTGGGCGAATACCTTTTTGAGATGGGCATCATGGTCGGTGTCTGCTCGAGATTTGACGATCATGTCGTCCATGTATACCTCGAGCATATCCCTAATCTCATAGCGGAAGACTTTATTTATCATCCACTGGTACATTGCTCCTACGTTTTTCAAGCCGAATGGCATTATGTTATAGTAGTAATTGCCCGAGCTGGTCATGAAAGCGGTGCAATGCTTATCGCTCATCGCCATTGGTATTTGATTATAGCCCGAGTAGGTGTCCATGAATGATAAAATTTTCTAGCCGACCGAATTATCGACCAGCATGTCAATATTAGGCAAAGGAAAATCGTCTTTGGGACATTCCCGGTTAATATCGATATAGTCAACACACATTCTCCATTTTCCATTATTTTTCTTAATAAGTACAACATTTGAGAGCCAGGTTGAATATCGGGCCTCAGAAATAAAATTAGCCTCTAGGAGGTCTTTTACAGCATTTTCAACAGCCCCCGTTTTCTTGGGAGACTACCTACGTCTATGTTGTACTATTTCCCTAGCGGTTGGATCAATGGCCAAGTGGTGACAGGCGACCTCGGGGTCAAGTCCAGGCATCTCCGCGGCGCTCCACGCGAACAGGTATGCGTTTTCCCTCAAATAAGCTAAGCTTCCTCGCCAGGTCGGAGAGTCCGGTGCCGATCTTCACGCCTCTGTGAGGGTCTTCACCGATGGGGACGAACTCGAAGTCTCCATCCGGGATTGGTCAGAGGAATTCCTATTCCTCGTTGGGTGCTTCATCCTTGTCGAAGCGAGCGTCCAACAAGATGGAGTCGACCTTAGGTGGAGCTCTTTGTTCTTCTGTATTGACAGACAACGACTTAGGTCGAGTAGCAGCTCCATTAGCATGCTGTGCCCCAGTGTCGATCGTGCTCTGTCCCTTTGAAGCTACATTGAAACATATTCGGGCAGTTGAGAGGTTGTCGTGGATGGTGGCGATATGTCCCATCTTTGTGTAGAATTTCATATTTAGATGGACGGTGGAGGGGACATCGGTCAATTCGGCCAGCGTTGGTCTCTTTAGGATGCAATTGTAGAGAGACGGGCATTCAATGATCAAAAATCGCACCTTAACCCGCCTGATTGCAGTTTCCTCTCTGAAGGTGACTAAGAGCTCCACGTACCCCCACGATTTGGAGGTCAAGCCATTGAAGCCCCGCAGGTCGGACCCTACATATGGCGAAAGATGGGTGTCATCAAGCTGTAGGGTTCAGAAGAGATGGTTATACATAACATCGACAGAACTCCCTTCGTCGACCAAGACGCGGTGAACGTCGAAATTAGCCATCCTTTCCCTAACCAGAAGATAGATGCTTGCATTAGGGGGCCCTTCGGGCAACTCTTCGAGGTAGAGTGTGATCGACTCCGATCTGCCATTGACCCTCTCGAATGTTACCGCTTGTGGCGGGGCTGCGTCGACCAGCTCGTCCAGCTTCCTCTTTGCAGAGTTTATAGATATGTTATTGAACCCCCCGCCATTTATAACCATGGCGGAGGGGAATCTTTCCCACCTACTGTGCATGGACAAAGGTTCTTCTTCGTGTCTATCAGGGACGTAAAAGTCCTTCGGCCTTGTAACAGAGAAGGCTATTTGGATGGGGGTCATTTCATTCGATGGTCAGGTGTCTTCCTCTACCTCTCTTGTCTCGCGTGCATCCCGATGAGGTGCGTTATTGTGGCGATATTGCCCAAGCCTGTCACCCTTGATGAGGGTTTCGATGGCATCTTTGAGATGGACGCAATCTTCAGTCAGATGCTCGTGGCTCCAGTGGTATTGACAGTATTTGCTCCTGTCTGCCCCGGGCTTTGCAGGGGAAGAGCGAGGAAGTTTGATGCTGCCGTTCTTGAAGTCGGTGTTGGCACACTCTGCCAAGACGCGCTTGCGGGAAGCTGTCAGCAGAGTGTATTCGGTGAATCGGCACGCAATCACCCTATGCTCGCAGGGGTCCCGTGGTTTGTCATCCCTCCTCTTCTCGCCCGTTCTTCGAGGAGGGGTTGCGTCTTGCTGTCGCAGAGGATTGGTTGGCCCGCGGTTCCTTGGGTCGCAGACTTTGTTGGCCGCTTCCCTTTCCTCGTAGTCCATGTAGGCTCTAGCCTTTTTAAGGAGAGCATCGAATGTCCGGGGTGGTTCGATGCTAATGACCTTCTTGAATTTCGTGCCCGGGAGGAGTCCCCTCTCGAGCAGATATCGTTTCATGTGATCGGTGCAGGGGACCTGGATGGCCTCGCGATTGAACCAATCTATGAACTCCCTGAGGGTTTCGTTGCTTCTTTGGACGATAGCCTCGAGGGCGGCCTCGGTCTTCGGGTGTCGACGAGATGCTGTAAAGGAGCTGATAAACTGGCTCTTCAAGTTCCTCCAGAAGGTGATCAACCCTGGGGGGAGGTTTTTATACCAGTCCATCGCTATTTTCCTTAAGGCCGTAGGGAACAACCAACACTTGATTGGTCCTCTGACGTTGTGGCAGTGGAGCATTGCTTCGAACTCGTCGATGTGGTCGACCGGGTCGGTAATGCCATCATACTCTTTTAGTCGGGGAGGCTTCTCCATTTTTTTAGGAATGAGTGTGTCCATGATTGCTTGTGGTAAAGGACCGCGGGGCTCATCTTTGTCGCTCCTGTAGGGGGAGCGGGAAGGAGACCGGTTGTATCGATAATCGTGGTGGCGTCATTGGCCTCGGGGATGATCCCTTGGTCGAGGATGTGTTTCTTCGTGGCCCCTGTTTCTGTTTGCAGGGGCTCGTTGTTCCCTACGGGGGGGGGGGGGGGGTGAGGCCGCGCCTTCCGGTAGCCTTGGGCATGGTTCTCTCCAGCTCGGGGCGTCTACCAATTCATCGGGGAGAGAGGCTCTGCGACCTGTCTCATTTGTGTCTCCGCAGGGGAGATTGAAGACGGTCTTCATCCTGACAAAGAGGATGGGGGCTTCGCGACCTATACCGTCTGTGTCTCTGCGGGGGAGATTGAAGACGATCTTCATCCTGATGAGAAGGAGGTGTGTCGGGCCTTCTATGACTTCTGGGGGCTTGACAAGAGTCTTCGAGCATCCTTAGCCGCTCACCTTGCGCGAAGATTAGGTAATTTGTCTGGTTAATTGCCGCGAACAGGGCCCGAGTCGTGGCATCAACGCCCGAGGGGGGACAAAGACTTCCTGGAAAGCATTCAACTCGTAATCCTGGGGCGGATGGGCGCCCTCCTGCGGTTGAGTGTGCGATGAGGAAGAGGCAGTCATGCCGTCAATATAATTCTGCATGAGATCAGCCATGTCGTTGTCGTTCCCGTTGTTATTGTTGTTGCCCATGTGTTCGACGACATGGTTGTTGGGGTCGGCGAGATGGGCGTCCAAGATGTTGTTGGCAGCTGGGTCGGCCATGACGATCGAGAATCCGGAGTTGCTTTTGTCTTAGTTAAATGAAGACGAGGAAGCTAGTTTCCCACAGACGGCGCAACTGATCGTACCTAACCAAAATGGATCGTCAAAGCCTTACGTCGAGCCGAGGTTGAAAGCGAGATGGGGGAGGAGGGGGGGGGGGGGTACCTGCAAGACACTCTGATGCCAAAGTAAGTTTCAGAGAGTGCAAGCAAGTGTGAGTATGAGAATAAGAATGAATACTTGGCCCTCTCGAATGAGAGGGTATTTATAGCTCTCAATGCTGGGCCAAGATCCCCATTGTTGAGCCACATTGAGGCCCAATAATAAAGACTGCCAGAGCTTACGTGTATATGGAGTTCAACACCCCCTGATCAACTGCTCCTTGAGAATAGGGGTTGAACCCGTGATTTCCGGAGGACAGTTAAGATGACGATGACGTAGATCACGTTCTCCAACGGATACGTGGGGAGTTGCCCAATAGTCCCTAACTTGAGTTGCTTGCTTGTGAGTCTTATACAAAGGTGCTGGATTAGACCTCCCAACCGTGAGGTAAATGCATGCCCAATCTAAATCACTTACTGTCTAATTATCATTTTTTTTCTTCTTTTTATAGATTCTATATTTATAGGTGTAAACAATTACTTATTTCAAAATTAAAATAAATATTATTTAATAATTTTATTAACTTAAATTTTTACTCTAAATAATTATTATTAAATATTAGTGTTGAATATATGTTAGAAATGATATAATCTTTTTGAATATATCTCTCATTAAGAAAAATCAAAACTCATAACACAACAAAAATAAAAGATAGAAGAACGATGAACACCAAGGATTTTCCATAAATACTACAAAAATACTTTTTTCATGCTATAAATCATGATTTTTATTATTAAATTTTAAAATTTATTTATTTTTTCAAAAATATATTTTATTTATTTATTATTATTCCCTCAAGTCTAAAACATGTTATTTTTTAATAAATTCAATAATTAATATATTTAATTTATTATTAAAATAGATATGTTAATTATTAAATGAATATAAAATATAATTTACTTTTTATAAATAAGACTCCCAGAGTATTATTATTAATTTGTACTTTTAGAGAAATAAAAAAAGCAATTTTCCTACTAATACACTAAGAAGCAAATACGCGTGCAAAGATTTTCTCTCCAAGTCAAAAACAAAACTTCATCTCTCTACAAAAAAAACCCAAAAGACGATTTTCTCCCCATATCAAAAAACCTAAACCAATCAAAAACCGCCACGTACACAATCCCCTAGCGTAAAACTACGAATCTATCACCGACTAAGCTACATAGTAAAACAGTCGACACGTACCCTAGTTTGCACCGGCTATATCCGGTAACCGAAGTCATAAACCGGTAAAAACCAGTCATACCCTTTTCTTTCATTTCCACTAGCTACTATATATCTCTCTCTTCAACATTTCATCTCTCTCTTCTCTCTCACACTGTTTCTTTTTTATTAATTAATTCATTTCTTTTTTTTTTTTCTAATTTTATTTCCAGAAAGTGACGTTTCACTTTTTCCTAGCTCGCGGTTTGGATGTGAGTTAGCTCCAAAACAATTCTCTTATGTTGTTTCATGTTTTCAATCATTGTTTACTGATCATGGTACATGTTTGTTGAGTTTTTCTTTTTTGTTTCTTTATTCTTGTTTTATTCTTGTTTTTAAGTGTGTTTTCGGTGATGTGTTCAAAGCGTGCATTTTTAGTTTGATTGGGTATTTGAATTATTACTTTTTGTTATTAGATTTTAGGATTAGGAGTTTGGGTGTGTATTGGGTATGGTAATTGAGATTGTTTTTTGATTTTGGGTTTTAGGGTTTTGAATGTGTGAATTGAGAGTTTATTTCAATATCTGGTTTTTTATTGACGGTTAAGAAGAATAATTAGGGTTTGTTGAATGAAATTGTTTGATTGTAATTTTACTTTAATTGAAAGGTGGGTGTTTAGTGTTGAATTTTGTTTGTATGCTTTTGAGAAATGTATGTTTGATTCTAAATCAGGTATGTAAAACATTTTATTTGGGTTAACTAGTTTTAGCTTAATTTTCGTTTGTGCTAGTGGATTTGTACTTTTTCTGTTGATCTGTATTATTGTACATAGTTGAGATAGGTTTGAAGATAGATTTGAGAAGAAAATTGTAATTTTTGACCATTTGGTTGTATTTGTGATTGTAGGTTTGTCAGAAAGGTTGTATTACTGCGGTGAAGATCTTAGAGAAAGGAGTGTTACCATCGGCGTTTAATACTAAATCTGCCTGTTACATTGAATTTGTATATTGTTTGATTATATTTTGATTATCAGTTAAGCCTGGCTTTCGAGAGCTACCTTGATTCGAGTCACCAAGGGGGCATACCTCCCATGGCACCTTCTCGGGTGGCAGGAGGTTTAGCCCAATCATCATCAAGTTCTGGAATTTTTTTTCAAGGAGAGGGACAGCCGCATAATTTAGTTAACTCTCACTTGAGTTCATCTTTAGTTAACTCGTCTAACACTGTGCCTGGAACTGGTCATTCCAACCTTGGTCCAGTTCCTGGGGATATGAACAATGCAATTTTGAACAGTGTTGCAAACTCAGCACCAAGTGTTGGAGCTAGTTCTTTAGTTACGGATGCGAATTCTGCACTCTCTGGTGATCGCCATATGCAAAGAAGTGCGAGCATTAATGGAGACTCATACTTAAGATTACCTGCCTCGCCATTGTCGTTCACATCGAATAATATTAGTATTTCTGGGTCACCTGCAATGGATGGTTCATCTGTTGTACAGCAGAATTCTCATCAAGATCAGAATGCTCAACAATTGCAGCAGAATCAACAGAAGCTGCAGGGTGGTTCAAGTTCTATGCATTTGCCCGCTTCTCAAACTGGCTCTTCTTCGCACCAAATGGGTGCACAAGTTGCAGGATCTTTCATTCAAGATCCAAATAGTATATCCCACTTGCTGAAAAAACGTAGGCTGGATATCAAACCAGATGATATAATGCAACAACAGGTAATACACCAGCTTCTTCAGAGACAAGACCCCACGCAGTTCCAAGGACGTAACCCACAGTTACAGGCTATGTTTCAGCAACAGCACAGGCTTAAGCAACAACAAATCTTTCAGTCGTTGCCCCAGGCTCAGCGGATGCAATTGATACAACAACAGCAGCAACAGCAACAACAGCAGCAGCAACAAATGCAGAGGCAGCAACTACAACAACAAATGATGCAGCCCTCGGCTGGTGTGAAGCGTCCATATGATGGTGGTGTTGGAGGTGTATGTGCCCGTCGATTGATGCAGTATCTCTATCATCAAAGACAGCGACCAAGTGTGAGTTGTTTATTTGCTTGCTGCATGTGAACACCTGTCCACATGATTTATTTTGTGTATGCAGCAGCAATGTTTTATGGTTAGTGGATGTTCAAATCTGTTTGAGATGCAATATATATCATGTTTCAAGCATCAGCCCTTCTATTTAAGGCATTTGGGTTAATTAGTATCATTTTTAATGCTTTGGCACGTCTTAACATTTTGATTAGTTACATAACCAAACTTCAATTGATCTGTTTTCTCAGGATAATAGTATTGCGTATTGGAGAAAATTCGTGGCTGAATATTACTCTCCTCGTGCAAAGCAACGGTGGTGTTTGGCATTATATAGTAATGCTGGACACCATACAGCTGGTGTTTTACCGCAAGCAACTACAGTTAGTTTTTTCACTTTTTATTTTATTTTTTTGACAGTTTTTTCACTTTTTATTTTATTTTTTTGACATAGTTTTTTCAATTCTTATTTACCCTGTATATACTGTTTGTTTCATAAATAGAATGATGCTGTAATATTTTCTAATAATAAATCTCGCATTAAAAGTGTTAACAGATTGGATTAGATTATCATCAAGTAAATTGTAGGCAACTTCTTAGAATGAGTTATGCCAAAAATTATGGAATTTGCTTAGTCAGTTTTTTCTTCTCGTTTTTTCCCACCTAGTATGTTGGTACTATAGTCCTTGACGTGATGATGATCTGACCTTGACATTTCTTTCTTCAGCATGCTTGGCACTGTGACATATGTGGAGCCAAATCTGGAAGAAGGGGATTTGGTAAAGAACTGAACATATTATGTTATTCTATCAAACTGTGATTATGGATATTTTTTTTGTTCATACTTGTAACTCTATTTCTTAGAATGTTTATTTGTTTCTGATGATGCTAATCTAATAATATGTGCATGCTGGATTTGTTTAACAGAGGCAACTTTTGATATACTACCCAGACTTAACGTAGTCAAATTTGACGGTGGAGTGATCGATGAACTTTTGTTTTTGGACTTGCCTCGGGAAATAAGATTTGCATCTGGTTTGATGATGTTAGAATATACAAAAGCAGTTCAAGAGTGTGTGTACGAGCAGCTCCGTGTAGTTCGTGAGGGTCAACTTCGTATCGTATTTACTCAAGACCTAAAGGTTATAGATCTTAACTGTATCTGAATATATTTACTGTTTGAATCTTTTGTTTGTACAGCCACTGAAATTCTTGATAATTTGCAGATATTTTCTTGGGATTTCTGTGTAAGGCGCCACGAAGAACTTCTTCCTCGAAAGTTAGTTGCCCCACAGGTATTTGATTCTGCATGCTATGTTGTGTGTAAGATGGTGCAACTTAACGTGATATTTCTGATAAGTAGCTCTCCATTTGTCACCTCTTTCCATGTCTTGTTGAAACTTTGTGCTACAAGATTAAAAGTGAACTTATAACCATTCTTGGTAGTATAGAGGTGTTATTTTGGAGTATAGCTCTTACTATTTTTAACTTCTTACAGGTCAACCAATTAGTTCAGGTAGCTCAAAAATGCCAAAGTACGATTTCTGAAAGTGGGTCAGACGGGGTTTCTCAGCATGACTTGCAATCAAACAGCAACATGTAAGTTAACATTTTTTATAGCACATGCAACTGTGTTTGGAGTCATACAAGGTCAACCAATAGAAATAGTGAATTTTAATGTTACCGATATTAGTGCATACTTTGTTTTTTGTATATGAAATCAATCATTATAATCAGTGTAACTAATCATTTTCTTATGAAGCGCTCAAAACCCAAATATGCCTTTTTATGAGAGTCTATGAACTAAGGTTTTAATGTAATGTTTACATCAGGGTCCTAACTGCTGGGCGTCAGCTTGCGAAGAGTTTGGAACTACAATCACTAAATGACTTAGGCTTTTCAAAAAGATTTGTGAGAACTTTGCAGGTAAACTGTTAAATAATATTTCATAGTTTCTAATAGTGTTGAAGAACAGTGAAACCTTAATTCTCTATTCATAATATTTAATCAAAATCTTCTTTTCTTTGCCTTATGTAATGTTTTTACAGATTTCTGAGGTTTGCAATAACATGAAAGATCTAATTGATATCAGTTCTGATCAAGATATCGGAGCAATTGGTAATTCTTGTGTTTTTTATTATATTTATTATCATACACTCTTGGGTTGAATTCATAACAACTTTATCAAATATTGGTTCATCTATTTTAATTTTAGGTGTCTGGATTCTTTTTTAAAATTTGGAATAGCCTTTAGTGTTTCCTTCTTTATTAATCCTAGATTTGCCTGCAGAGAGTTTGAAAAATTATTCTCAATTTTCAACCGCGTCAAAGCACCAAATGCAAAAGATGCAGGAGATGGAACAGGCAGCAAATGCTCAAGGTCTCCCATCTGATCGAAATACCCTTAATAAACTGATGGCATTGAATCCTGGATCGAACAATCATATAACCAATAATCACAACAATATGGGCAATCGCGGTGCTTTGACTGGGCCATCACAAGCTGCTTTGGCAATGTCTAGTTATCAGAATATTCTCATGAGGCAAAACTCGATGAATTCAAGTCCTAGCTCACTTCATCGAGAAGGGTCCCCTTTCAATAACCCGAACCAAAGTCCCTCGTCAGCTTCTTTGCAAGGTGGTGCTGGGGCTGCTGCTATAATCCCCGGCTCTATGCAGAATTCACCTCACAACAGTAGTGGTGGATTCTCAAATCAACATATATCGGCTCAGCAACAGCAGCGGCAGCAGCAGCAACAACACCTTCAACAACGCTCGTTAAGTGCGAATAATTTACCTCAACAAAATCACTCACAAGGACCTCAAGGAAATCAATTACTGCAACAGCAGCAGATGATCCAGCAACTACTACAAGATATGTCAAATAACAATGGCGGGGGAGTGCAACAACCGTCTCATAGTGGACCCAATGTAAGTGGGAATATGGCAAAGAATAATAATTTGGGTTTTGGGGGTCAAACTCCACCCACAACCGGAGGAGGAGGCGGGTCTGCCAGTGGTCAAGCAAATAACGGACCTGTTTCAAGGAGTAATAGCTTCAAAGCAGCTTCAAACAGTGATTCTTCTGCAGCAGCTGGTGGAGGAAGCAACACTGGATTCAACCAGAGATCATCTGACATGCCACCGCAGAATCTCGCATTGCAAGACATATCCGATTTCGCCACTGATTTTGCTGATAACCCTTTCTTTAACAGTGATCTAGATGATAACATGGGTTTTAACTGGAAGACATGACAGAGTCAAAGTTGTGAGTGTAATTGGAATTTGTTGTTCAATTGTTTTATCTTATTATAATATTATCTTTGTACAGATGATGATACTTTAAACAGTTTCTGTCTTATTTTTGTTGTTTTCGAATTCGTGATGACTCTTACTCCAGTAGGTGGGTGTTGTTCTAGAGATTTTATTTGAGGGTTGTTTTTTTTTTCCATGGCCTGCAAGTGTAATCTACTAGTACTTTAACCCGTGCAACACACGGAGAGATAATTGTTGCTTGGTTGTATACGTATTGCATTTTTCATATTGAAAAAGTTAGTCATGTAGACTTCAAATTCTGTAATATATATAATTATTTGAAAACATAAAGATCCCAACGAGATGATTTTGTTAACTTCCATTATTCTCTCATAGGATGATTCATATACAAAAAAAAAAAAGTGAAAATGTGTAAGATTTTATTTTTTAAATTGTAACTATTAATTTTAAAATAACTAGTTATGCTAAATACTTTTAATAAAAATGTATCCAAAAAATAAAATTTCAAATAAATTATTCTTGAGTTATTTTTCAAAATGGAAAACGAACATCTGTCTAATTTTAGTTTCTATTAAAATTATAAAATTGAGACTTTGTAAAAATGTTAAGATACATTTTACTCCCTGTCTTAAAATAAGTTTTTATCCTAAAATCAGTATCATTTTTAGTTTTCAATACAATTTTATTTTTTATCTTTCAATTATATTTTTTAATTAATATTTTTAATTTACTATTTCTCTCACATTATATTAATAATAATTAAAAAAATAAGATATTTTAACAAAATTATTATTCTCTCTTTTATTTATCAAGTATGACAAATATTGACACAGAGGAAGTATTATTTTAAAATTTTAGTATTTTTTGAAAATTCATATTTAACTAATTCTTTATAAAGAAAATTGCATGGAGAAAATGTTTAAAAAATTATAAATTTAAATGCACTTAACTAATTCTTTATAAAGAAAATTGCATGGAGAAAATGTTTAAAAAATTATAAATTTAAATGCACTTTTGATCATCTTAGTTGGATGGCTTTTAATTTTTAATTTTTAGTTCTTATATTTTAAAAATTAAGTTTTTGATCTCTTAACTTTATCTTCTTTGAAATTTTGTTAATCCCCTCTTATTTAATATTTATTTTATAAAATAAATTAGTTTATTTTAATTAAGTTTTTTATAAATATATTTTAAAATTATTTAATTTAAAATAATCTTTTTGAGCTTAAGGTCTAAATCTTTGAAAAATCTCACTAGTCTACAAGCACGAGCATTTAACTTACCACTTTTCAAATTATACATGTAATTTTTCATTTTTCATTATTCTCGCAATGTTTTTGGTGAAATGGGAATAATTTTTCTCGAACGAAATTTTCGATAAAATAGTGTAAATTTTTGATATGTACAAAATTTCTGATAGTTCATATGAAATTTTCGGGAGTTCATTTGAAATTTCCTGTATAGTTAAATTTTTCTCGTAGATTTCAAATTTATCACGCTGTATCGGAAATTTAATTGCATGTTGAAATTTTTGATTGTGTAACGATCAAGATTTTGCTGACACCTTTGGAGGATTCTGATTGCACTGATAAATTTGTATCGTCTAGAATGAATCGCTATTTGTATAAGTAGGGATATATATTATAGAGAAAGACATCTCAAAAAATATCTCTTCCTCAATTTCTGATTAAGGCGGAGTGTATTTCAATAGAAACAACCATCTTGTTGAATTCAAGCTTCTAGATGACACTGCATCCCTCGTCAACTTAAAAGACAAGTTGAATGAATTGTTGTCTGATACCAATAACAGAAGAGTGAGAAAGATCGAGTTTCAGAAAGATTGAATTGATACAAATGAAAGGGTGAAATACAACCTGATTGAGTTGAAGACCAACAAAGATGTGAAGGTCATGTGAAAATCATTTCGCCGTAGGATAACTAAGGGCCTGATCGAATTGGATCTATATATAATAAGATTCGTCGACGACATAATCAATATGCTGAAACGTCCAGAATCATCTAAAAGTACCTATGTTTATGTTTACTTATAATAGGCTCAAATAATAAATAAAAACCAACAAAGAAATGCTAGTATAGTTGTAATAGGCTCAAATAATCAGTTAGTTGTCTGGTCTCAGGCTAGGAAGCAACTCCAAGTGGCGTGTATAACATGGTCAGTGTCGCCGCTCCTCAAGCCCAACGAATTGTCTAGGCTACTAGGTGTTGTACCCTAAAATTTGTCCTCTCATTTCTCAAAGGATCATCCTGGATCCTCAGGTTTGATTCCATTCAATTTCAAGCCTTGAATTACAAATTTTCTAAGAAAGTCATTCACAAGGGCAAAATGGTCATTCGCACACTAAAAAGTCAAACTTTGACTTTTAAATCAAAATCAAGTTTCAAGAATCATATTTCATCAAGGCATGAAATTTGTCTCATCAAGGAAATCATAAGTCAAGATTCATGTTGAAAAAAGTCAAAATTCTAAATACTTAGAATCTTTCTAAGTGTTTAAGAAGTATGACAAGCTCAGAACTTCTGGCCAGATTTTCACTATGATGCAAGCTGATTCTGAAATAACTTCTAACACAAGAATTTTAGATCTCAATAAGACCTAAAATATTGCAGAACAAAACTTCTCCTGGAAATGCTGGAATTTTAAATTATAAATGTTTAAAGACACGTCTATGAAACTGAAGCACTCAACAAATTCTGGATATTTTCAAGACAGAGTTTGGTTAGAACTTCTGGGCCAGTTTTCATGAAGGTTCAGCCAGAGTTTGTAAAAGTAATTCAAAGAAAGTCTATAAAGCGTGTTACAAGCTTTCAGAAAAGTCTGAGAACTTCTTCAGAACATGTTGGAGCAGAGAGATTCTAAGATCAGAAGTTGGATCTTTATTCTAAGTTACGCTGATGTTGAACTTCTGACCCAGACTTAGGCTATGATGAACAATCTCATAGTGCAGGATTTCTGGTTTGATAAATTTCATCATCATTTAATGCACACAACTACTTTTGAGTTTTTATCCAAAGGATTTCCCCACGTGTGAGAAAGAAGTACCATTGTTGTCCTTGAAAAGCAAACTTTTGTACAAGTTTATGCTGGGCCCATGCTTTTCTTTTGCCTCTGAGGGTACTTTTCCTTAATTCATGCTTACAAATCCAGCTTAGGCACGACTAAAAGCTGTTAACCATTATACATGTTTATCTTGCTTCAAGAACAAGCCAGTACGCTAGCATGATGTTGGTACTTTTGACTTCTCCAAGCTACAAAGTTTTTGTCTATAAATTGAACTTCATTTGCAACTATGAAGGGGCGGTCAGAAAAATTGAAAGGAAAAACTTTGAAACCTTGCTAAAATTTCCAGAAATCCGAAACTGCAAACACAAAATACAAAACCTGCTAATTTTTTTTATTCTTGCATTCAAACCCCAATTTCCCTCAAGTGTTTCTTGACCAAATCATCCATTCACCATTCATAACCCAAGCTAAAGTTTGTTCTAGCCTACTGAATATGTGAGGAAGATGATCAGAACATTACAGGCAGTTAGAACCAGACACCATCTCACAGAACATTTTTCAACTGCAAGGTAAGCTTCTGCTAACCCTCATCATATCACTTAAGCATTGTTAGACTTGCATGTTCAAAACACAATGTAGACATCCTGATTTTGATGCTGTACATATTCTGAGGTTTCATGTACCTGACTTCCTAAATAGGAATAACATAGGTTCAGAACTTCTTAAGGAAACTAGAACTAGCAGATACATGTTTGTTTCTGATTTATAGTCTTGATATTTTTTATGCTTCTGAAACCATGAGGGAAACCTGCCATAATTGCTACGTTTATGTTTTTTGTTCTATTGAGAAATGATTAAGTTGTAGATGTTCTGATTAGCATGGAGAAAGAGATGAAGCTAATTGTTGTACCCCAAAATTTTCCCTCTCATTTTACTCAAAACATACTCATTGAAGTCCTCAACTTGCTCAAGGATGTCCAAGAGTTGACCAGACAAACTCTCTCTTAAGGAAATGTACCTCAAATTAGGGTTTCTACTTTCATCAAGATGTGTGGATCACAAAGGCCTTAAATGCTCTCCAAGGCCCTAATATGTTCCCAAGATTCTCCATGTCAAGTCCCATGCCTTGCACAAGAAGTTTGCTCAGTCAACTGCTCAGATGCTTGAAAATCGACTGAACTAAGTCAAAAGTCAACTGTGGCCCACATACAGTCAAACTTCAAGATTTTTGGTCAACATCAATATTTTAAAGTGACTTACATCAGATCAAGGGTTGATCATGATTCCTCAAGGAATGCTCCAAATTCATCAAAACCCAAAAGTTGCTAAATTAGGGTTTTGCAGGAAAAGTCAACCCAACTTTGACCAAGCATAACTTCTTCATACTTTATCAGAAATTTTCCATCCAAGGCTCATTTTGAAGAGGATGAAATTACCTATAATTTATCTTCATCCTACAAGTTCAAAATATGCACTCATCAAAAGATATGAATTTTTGCATTATAGGTCCTTTTGAAAAGTCAACAAAAACACCTTTTGGGTCAAAGCTTCATACATGAACACGAAAGATCCAATTGAGATGAAAACAAAAGGGTTGTTTAGGGGATATCCTAAGATTTCTAAAAAGTCTAAGAACACCCTCCTAGGATCAAAATTGAGAGAGATATGCATTGTCAAAGTTGGCCATGTTTGAAAAATATTGTCAAAAGTCAACATTGATCAAAATTGTATTTTTTTTCCAAAGGGGTCCATGTTTTCTTGCTTGAAACTTGTTTATAATAGGACCCACGACCCCTTAGCTTATTCCCCTATTATTTTATTATTTTTATTATTTATTTTGATTTTTTATTCATTTAAATCAAAATAAATCAATTTAAATGGTAAAATAATAAAATCAAATCAAATCTTGGATTTTTTATGCACATTATGAGTCCATATACAGCTAGCATGACATGTA